TTGAACTTCAGCCTTCATAGCAGTGAGAAATAAATTTCTCTTGTATCGGTGGTCCTGTCTGTGAGACTGGTTACAGTGGTCCTAAAGGAGCAAGCACTTATTTTTAAGGAGACTAGGGATGCCAAGCCCTACTCCTTGGGGACAGACATGGCGGGCAACCCTGTCTTTAATGGTTCATTTTGCAGTTGCATCTGTCAAGAGGCAGCACCCTCAGGGAGGGAACAGGCCAAACAGGCTTTGTCCTCAAAGGAGGGTCAGTTCCTTGGCTCTAGGTCTGGCTGGATTCTGGAATACTAATTACCTTCTGCTGCACTGACTGAGAGGGCAGGTGAGAGTCCTGTAAGATGTGCACTAGGGTGCTAGCCCTATCCAGCTGCAGTGGACATTAGAACCCTAGCAGGACAGTGTGATGAAGCTAATCTTTATGTTTCTCTTCTTCTTCTTTTTATTTTTATGTCTAGTACAGAAGGATAATTCTGGGAGTCAAAAACTGCTTGCATCGCTTTGGGGGTGACAAGATTCTTTGTTGAAAGTACTATCTCAACAAAAAATCAATCTTCAAAAAAATTCTTGAAAAATTTGCTGGAATTTCTACCTTCACTCTCCCAAAATGTTTGTTTGTATACAAGGAAAATACTTTTTCATTTTATGTTCCAGAGAAGGCAGAAGAAAGAAAGCTTGAATAATGTTGTCTGGTAGAATGCTAGTTGATACTTGATTCCAACTGGAGAAACTACACCTAGGAGCCCAGCAGGAATTCAGTGCAGAGATAGTCAGAACTGAGTGCTTTGGAAACAGGAAAAACCAGAAAGACGGGTGAGGGGCTGCTTGCAAAGTAGCTTCATCCTCTTGGGGTACAGGTGTGCTTGTTTGGTCCCATTTCTCTGACACCGTGGGAGAACGGGTGCACACACATGGGGAGAGGCAGTCTTAGGTACATGGAGAGATGGGATGACAAATCTGAGCATGTGGGCCGGGATGATGTCACCCCCAGAGTCAGTCATGAATAAAGGTGTGAAGAGGACTTCACATTGATGGTCACCGGAGAGGTGGCCATGTTTAGTCTCAGGAAGCCCAAGACCACATGACTGGATGTATTGGCAGAATGTGTCTAAGAGTGCTCAGTTCTGAAAGTGTCCCCAAAGATGACCTGTACCCCAGACCTTAGGCTCAACACAGGGTTCTCTTCACACACAGGGACATCTTTGCCCTCCTGCTTGCCACTGAGGCACCCTTGTTTGGAGAGCTGGTGTGCTGCAGCTTAACTCCCACGCTGAGAATGGGTCCAAGAATGTCATTCCCTTCAAAATCTGCTGACAGAACATTCCATTATTGCCAAGCCCCATGGAGAGTTTGTAGTATCTAAAGACGGGGGTGATTGAGGAAACAACAAATCCTCATGCTGAGTATAAATGATACTACCCTTTTTCTTTCTTTTTTTTTTTAAAGATTTATTTATGCATACAGAACTGGGGTACAGGCCAGAGGTGCAGGGGCGGTGAGAGGATTCACCAGAGACACAGTGGGGAGTAGAACAGGCAGATCAACGAAGTACACTGCTGAGGGGAGCAGGGGTGGGTCAGGAGAGGTCTGTTGTGCCATGTGGGTCACCACCAGGGCGGGGATCGAACTCATGCGGAAGCGGCTGTGGCTAGCTTGCAGTGCTGAGTGCGTCTTAACCCATTGTGCCACTAGGGAGGGCTCGTTATTACCCTTTTCCTTGTGTCCCTTCCTTTTCTGGAAAATGGGATGAAATATTTATTTTTAATATTGCAGTCTCTTTATGGGTAGTGATGTCATTTTTGTGCAGAATCTTTGGCTTCACTCTGGGAAAGGTTTCACCAGAGCTCCCTTTTCAGTGGCACTCAGCGAGTTCCCAGGCAAGTTTCTCCATGAGACAGAGACTCAGTTATATTTAAAGAGCAGGTTTCTTAGGGAAAAGGACAGAGGAGTATTGGACACTTGCATAGGCATAAGTAGGCAGGAAGAGCTGCCTCAAAGAGACAGGTTTGCTGAGAGAGGCCTGCATAGTTGCAGGCAGACGGCCTTAGGAGAGCGGCCTCTGCTGAGGAAGGTTAGTGCAGAGAGGTCCCGGCATGGTACAGGTCACAGGCAGGCAGGAGGCTGCTGCCCTGCAGAGGGAGAGAGTGGGCAGAAAGAAGCACCTGCATAGGCACAGGTGGGCAGGACTGCTGCCCGGGGCCAGTGCAGAGACTGCACTGCTATAGTCCTTTTCTCTTTGGGAGGGGCTCACTCCTTTGTGGAGTGGCCTGTTTGCTGCTGATTTGGGGTAATTATGTGGAATCCTAAAGGGACTGGAGATTTCACAATGGGCGCAATCTGTATCTTTACCCTCAGGTCTGTGCTTCTGATATTCCCTACAGCAGTCTGACACAGGAGTCTCTGACTAGGTTAGTAGTCAGTTCCTTCTGCCCCCACCTTCTGGTGTGAGTCAGGTTTTAACCTTGTGATGTCTCCATTTCTATTCGTTTCCTCCATTAGATTGCTTTGTGTTTGTGTGCCTGTGTGTGTGTGTGTCGTTTGCTTCATGATCAATCTCTCAAAGAATTTGATGCTAAAATTTGATGTTAAAAGAGATTTCTCACTTAAGAAGATACTGCATTAGCATACAGAGACATCTGTATATCATCTTGACTACTCCCTCTTTGCCTTCATGTCTGGAAAACTCGGAGTTTATTTAATTTAATGCCTGAGGCTGTAACCAGCCACACTCAAATTTCTGGAAGAATTTTCTCTCTATTCCCCACAGGAAATTGCTTTAATAATACATTTTTGGGGGAACTGTTGCAGAAGTTTTCCTTGTACAGAACATTTGTGTGGTGTTTATTTGCTTTGTTTCCTTAGGTCCCTGCATGGTTAACATTCTTCCCATTTTTCTGATCCTGAAACTGAGCAAGTTTAAAAGTGCCTTCCTGCTCCTTAGTCCTTGCTGACAAAGTTTGAATTCCAACCCAGCTCTCCCTGTCCAAGACCAGCGTCCACTCTGGCCCCGAGTCAGTTTCTGAGTCCTAATGTGCTCATCTGTTAATAACATATAATTTACAAAAAAGTAAAAGTAAGTGTAACTGGGGACAAGTGACCGAATACTCAGAACTCCTGCAAAGAGGTCATGAGATTAGATAAGGGGGATATGATTGCAGGCTCTGTTTGGGGTTTGTGGTCTGGCCTTGCAGAGACCAAGGAGAGGGTCCCCTCCCCCACTGCCTTCTGCAGCACACCCCTCCTCCTCCCTCCTCCCCTCCCCCACTGTGATGTAGCACTGAAGGCTGGGAGGGACCTTTTGGAGGCCTGGCTCTGTCTGCAGATGGGAACCATTGCAGCCGTTCGTAATTCATCCTGGAAGAGATCTCGAACATTCTTCTGTTTGAGTCAGACTTTGATGGTTTTTTAAAATAGGCACATACCGACAGGAAACCCGAACTGCCTTAGTTTTGAGGTGGCCAGGAAAGTTCATGCAAAACAAGGCAGGGAAGGCAGGCTCATGCTGTCCCGCAGGCTGCCACTGCCACGGTGATTACAACACGCAGACTTCTCTGGTGCTGCTCTGTTTACAAAATGCTCTCCCCACGAGTTCATCGAGCTGTGCTGGTGTTTTTATTTCCATTTTATATGTAAGGAAGCTTTAGGTTGGGATGTATGTCTACCAGAGTGGCCGAAATCTTTTGATTGCTTGATTCTTCATGGTCAAGTTTGCCAAAAATGCCTTGTTTGGGTAGGCAGCGTGAACCAGGGAGGGTTGAACAATGCTTCAGCCAGCAAGTTGTTCAGCTGGAGGTAAAAGATTGCCTTCTCTTGACCTGACTGTGGACAGAGCAGGTGGTGGGGGTGAGGGGGTCCCTTGGTGGTGGGGGTTGAGGGGGCCCTTTGACCACACAGAATGAGTCCAGATATTGAAAGTTCTAACAAAAAGTTCAGGGACAGCTATTGGTGCCTCTGAGAGCCTAATTAACCCAAGGGCAGCTCAAATTACCTGGCAGGAGTTGAAGCTGGTCCTCAGCTGTGTGATTTTAGAGATTATGAAGTGATTTGGGGAGCTTCATCCTGGCGGGAGTCCTCGGGTACATTGCCTCTGGTCATCGCCTGGACTTGGGCCTTTTGGTCAACCATGCAGAGTGAGATTGCTTCCCACTCACTGGCTTCTTTGTGTTCTTTTTCTCTAAATTAACTCCCTTTTTTCTATCTGTTGATTATCTTATCTCTCTTTCTGGTAGCTGGTAGCCAATCTAGTAATGTGCCCTTTTTCTTTTTTTTTTTTGTTTCTCCTTTCTTTTTGATGGAGTTAAAGTTTGGTATCTGTCTTCCTGTACTTACACATGTAATTTCTGGTGATAACGAACCATGTCTTTGATGTCCAAAGATATCAAATATGCCCAAGAATTAAATATTGCTGCTTGATAAATGAACGGGAAAATAGAAATAGACACACAGCACAAACATTAGCATTGTGTCCTTGGGGGGATCTTTATTTCCCCAGCCCCTGTGGCCTGGCAGCTCTCTTCCCCACCTCATCCTACTCCCTGTAGTCTGAACCTCCTCCAGTTGCTTCTCTGTTTTGTGTGTTCACACACATCTGAACAGTTAACTCCTTCCCACCCTGAATGCTCCTTTCTCTGCAGTTGGTGTGTGTTGCTTGTGGGCGTCTCCTGCCCAGTGAGAGTCCTTGGGCTTGCTGGCTCCCTGTCCACCAGTCCCCCAAGGGTTGTGTTTTTTTGAGAAAACAGAACACACGAACGGAGACTGCATCTTAAAGGGTTTGTTTCCCTGAAAATGAAAGAGCCAGGCATGTGGAAGGAGACCCAAGGGCATCATCCCCAGCACCCATGTTCCCTTTGGTCACTCTGCTTCCAAGAAAAATATTTCCGAGAGATACCCAGTCACTAAAGAAAGTCAGAGGTGGGTTGCGTTTGAAAGGGAAACCCACCCCTGCAGACCTGCCGGCTGGGTGGCCTCTAATAGGCGTGGCCTCTCTGTTGCCACAGGTGACAAGACCACTTTCCAGCTGCAGGTTCGGCAGGTAGAAGATTATCCTGTGGACCTGTACTACCTGATGGACCTCTCCCTGTCCATGAAGGATGACCTGGACAACATCCGGAACCTGGGCACCAAGCTGGCAGACGAGATGCGGAAGCTCACCAGCAACTTCCGACTGGGGTTTGGGTCTTTTGTAGACAAGAACATCTCTCCTTTCTCCTACACAGCACCGAGGTACCAGACCAATCCGTGCATCGGGTAAGTGGCCAGCTCTCCTTCTGTTGGGGTTTTAAAGGTTAGGGGATGGTGAGTCAGGAAAACTTAACCCAAACAAAGGACTAGGAAAGGCCTAACTACGAGGGAACCGAGCTGAGGTGTTTGACTTGATTAAACCCAGTTCAGTCCTTCCTGTGCAGGTGTAGAAATGAACTGTCAGGAGGCTGCCCCAAGACCCGACCATCTGCACCCATTGTTTTCCCATCTGCCTGGAGCAGGGTGTTTCTTCTACTCACACAGATCTTAGACAACACTCTCAGGAGGTGATGGTCCAAAGGGCTCAAGCAGGGAGCAGGCAGAACAACTTAAACTTGCCCTTTGTGTGGAGTCCCTGAGGGACTTGGGGAACAAGCATATTCCAAGTCTCTCCCTGTTGTCTATATAAATATCTCTAGCTTATCTTGACAAAACAAAATGAAGATCCTGTATTTTAAATATAGGATTAATTTTCCACATCCATACCAGCACAGATACTTTCCTGCATCTGAGTGGTAATATCTGTTCCAGAACCATCCCACCCTCTCAGTGCTTGCCCAAGGGCAGTGCTGAGTTATGCTTCAGTAACAGTCCCCACATCTCAGTGGCTCAACACAAGTTTCTTACTTGTGCAAAATCTGTGAAGGTTGAGCTGCTTTCTTTCTTTGGCCAGCCTTCCCTTAAGCAGTGACTCTGGGCTCTAGGCTCCTTGTAGCCTGAGATGGTATTTTTGGTATTTGGTCTCGTTGGCTGCCACTGAGGAAGAGAAGTGCCCTTAAGCCCCTGAGCCTGCCTGGCCTCACAGCCCATCTTGGCAGCCCCGATGGCTCCCAGTTGTGGGTTGGGCTGGGTTTGGAGTGAGGTAGTGTTTATGCTGGTGCTGTTTACTCTTCCGTGTCCTTCCTGATGTCTCTGCACATGCTCCTAGGAGCTATCTTAGATCTTTGCCAGGGACTGGGAACTGATAACATGGTGGGAAAACAGCAAGAAAACATTTTAAATATGACTGAGACTCTTAAGTCTTGACCGTGAAGAAGCTCTGGATATCGTCATTTGCTGGGTTTGCGCCCTCTGTCTTTGGCTGGCATTGTGGCATTGGCTGGCATCATTATTACTTTGGTGCCATCTCCAAGGCCCTTTTCAGCTGAGTCCCAGTGCCAAATGCCCTGTTTAGGAGTTTTGCTTTTACTGTACTCAAGCGGCAACTGAGCCAAAACTTTTTCAGTTCATCCGGGCCCGTGATTCTGTTTCTTTCCCCCTCTGCCTTCTGACTGGCTCCTATCTCTAGACAGACAGGGTGTGTCCACGCTCATTTTTCTGAGGTCGAGGTCCATCCACCAGCCTGAGATCCTGGGCTGGAAGTTGGCAGGGGATGAAATACTGGCTCTGGGCACTTAGCATTTGAATATTCAAGATCATTTCATCCTCAGGATCCTTCTCTACTTCTGCCCTAGAAGGCAGAACCAATCGAAGACAGTAATGGTCTTGACAGTGACTACAAGGCTCACTGAAAAGCTGCTTGTAAGACAGGAAATCCAGTGAAGAATGGGAGTTTTGATGGAAACATCAGGTTTAAGTTATGCAAATCACCTCTTCTAAGCTGCAGAGCCCTGGGCTGCTGGGCCCTGGCTGGGATTTGTCTCCTCCTGTTGAGTGTGCATGGAGCCCTGGCTCTGTCCCCACTGCTCCCTCAGGAGAACAGTGCAAACTGGGGGTGTCATCAGTTTGTGCCTGTGCCTGCTCCAGCTTGTACGTGAGCTTTGTTTGCAGTCCTTAATGGACTGTGCATTAGTCACCAATGTTTGGGGAAAAAATAGCAGATTTCATGAAGGATAAGCCGGATTTCTAGGTTTTCTTGAAAAACTGAGAGGTCTGCTAAATGCTAGTGATGTTGGCTGCCACAGGCCCTGCCACCCCTCTGGCCCTGCAGGTTGTCTGTGCGCCTGTTGGCCTTCCACACCTGGCTGTGAGCCTTATCCCCTCACTTCCTCCAGCTAACCGGGGAGGAAAATCACAGGCTTCTTCTCCAGCTCCAGTGGCACCTTCCGCTAGGTGTTTTTCTCCTGTGGTGTTTCACAGTAGTAGCAGCCCCCAGGAAGTTTCGGGGACATGGGCAGTCAGAAGGAATGACTTACCCACCCTTTGTAGGACATTTCGGAGAAAAGAAAGTCGGTTGCTCATGGAACCCTTGCCTCCTTTTGCTAGTCTAGATAGCTCTGCCACAGAATCCAAATCTCTGATCGCCTCTTCCCATCTTAGAAGGTACCAGACATGCCACAACTGAAGTCAGCGGCACCAGGGCTGCCACAAGAGGAAAAAAGACAGCATGTTGATAGGCACAGGAATGGTTCAATGGCTCTTCTGAGTAGTCGGCGGAGCTTCAGTACTGAGTCACATCATATCCACTGATAGAGCACCTGAAAGACTCATCTGGCATATTATTTTGTCTCTGGATATATATATATATATTTTAGTGGTATTAGGCTGTTTCAGAAATACGTGTTATGTCTTGCTTCTATGTGGAATGCAAGAAATTTATATATGCAAAGGGCAGACAGGTGGTCTCTAGGGGCTGGCGGGAGTGGGAGATGGGCAGATGTTGATCACAGACTACATACTCCCAGTTGAAGATGAAGGAAGCTGGGAGTCCAGTGTGCAGGATAGTTTCTATATTAACAACTCTGAATTGTTACTTGCATGTTGCTAGGAGTAAGTCTTTTTTTTTTTTTTTTTTAAAGATTTATTTATTTATACAGAACCGGGGTACAGGCCAGAGATGTGGAGGGTGAGAGGATT